TTCGGGTCCTTTCTCTCTGCAGATTTTCTCTCTGCAGATTTTATTATCATTGGCCTATAAAGACTCCTCTATTAATGTCTTATCCTCTCACTGTCATTTATTCTTCTAACAGATATGAACTACAGGTTCTTAGACGCCGCCATATTCCTAGTTTGTTTCTCCTCCATGACTATTACTTTGCCACAATTTTGCTCTCGGATTGGAAGATCATGCAGTTTCAAGATTATTGGGTTTACATAATGCATAGTTCTGTTGTGCACTTTACCTACAAGTTTATTTTTTGTATCCTACTTTTGTTTGGTATATTTTTTTTGGGATACATGTAATTTCGAAAGTGATAGCTTGTTCTCCGTTGTTTTCACTTTTTTTGTGTGGAGTTGTATTGCGGACGGAGGAACCCTTAAGTCTAAATGTATTTTTTTTTCTTAGTAGAGATCCTACTTCCCTCCCAAATTATGTATTTTCTTTATTATGATTAACGTGTTTTCTTAGTACAGATCCTACTTCCCTCCCAAATTATGTACTTTCTTTATTATGATTAACGCGTAAGGAGACACGAGTTGCTCTTTCAGATCCTACTTCCCTCCCAAATTATGTACTTTCTTTATTATGATTAACGCGTAAGGAGACACGAGTTGCTCTTTCAATATATATTACATACGTGGGGCTCTTCCAATGTACGGAGGCAAAATTATCAGGGATGCAAAATGCTTGACAAGTCACTCTTCATTAAAGGGCACAACTAATCGGCACAGATATTTTGACATCTCTTCATTTATGTTACACAAAAAAAAGGGAGGACGGAATTACGGGGCGGTCTTATCATTCAAAAAGAAACTACCTCATTATTTCGTGTCAAATAAATTAAAGAAATGTTGCCTGATAAAGGCAAGCATTAAGAATCATGAACATAGTTTCCACACCTTTTAAAGGGGAAAAGAAAGAGGAATCACCGGTTGAGAACTTCATACATGATAAAGCTGAACCCTTTCTGTCATTGCTTGGGCTAGCTTGTGCGCTGTGGAGAGTGAGCTTAACAAAATATTTCTTTTATTTTTTAAAAAATTCACAAACATACCACCAAATATATATATATATATCAAGAGAGAGAGAGTGTGTGTAAGATTTAGCAGAATTAATTTTTCTATTCAAAATTTAACTTATTTGTCGGCGCGTTAATTTTTATAGCAGTTAAAGCTAAAATTAATTTCTAAACAATTTTAAATGGTGAAACCTGTCAAGAAAATTTGATTACTAATGACCAATTCATGATTTTTTAAATTGAAAAGACAGTGTGGACAGGAATGTTAAATTATTTTTAGTATTAACTATTATAATAGGGTTTGATGCATGTTAGAAAATTCGCTACGATAGAGTAACAAAATATCATCTTAGTATTGTACAAAAGTTCAGCACACACACAAATTAAATAGAAAAAAAAGGTGATGACTCCAGAAGTTGTTACGTGGAAAACCCGTTAGGGGAAAAACCACGGGGTCTGGTCCAATTACTGAAATCCACTATTGATTAATGATTGCAGAAATCTCTTGTCCCACAGATGGAAAATGGTAACTATATTTTTCAAATTACAATGTCGACTGACGGCGTCTGGTTAGTGGTAATTGATGACGACGGTCGGCAGTGGTCGTCTGAGGTCGGCGGTGTTTGTGGGCGATTGACGGCAGTCAACGACGGAGATCGGTCGGCGGTGTTCGACGACGATTGGTGGTGATGCTAAGCTACAACTTCTCCTCAAGATCTCAGACTCTCTCTAGACTTCCTCTTCCCTCATGAGAGAGATGTAGCTCTATTTATAGTGTTCTGGGCGCAATTAATGCAGGAGTATGAACCATTTTGATCGGAAGGTCCGGAGAGCTTTCATCGAACATACGGCGTTTAATGGACATTTGAGTGTCTTAATGATGTCAGAATTAAGTGATCTTAGACTTGTTAGATTTGTCTTGTCGAACTGCTCGATTTGAGTGTAAACTTGTGATATCTGACAGTTGTTTGACTTTCCAAATATATTCATAAATCTTCTAATTGTGGTTTAATGACTTGATCTGAGCTTGATTTAACTTGGATTAGGCTAGTTTTCATATCATTAGGTATGTCTCATTGAACATGTCAGTTTGACTATAAGTTTCCTGAAATCAGAGCTCTGGATAATTTTTCATCAAGCTTTGAATATTTCTTGCTTAAAATATCATTTCGAGATTCGTGTCATGCCTCAAGATCAGTGTTGGATGATGAAAATTTGTTAGTGGTGTATTAGTTGCCATCCTATTTTCAGACGAGACTCTTTTTATCGTCCGAAAATATAACATCCGAAGTATTTATATGTAAGAATATATACATCTTACTTAAAAATAATTTTTATTCTTATATAAATAAAAAGCTGAACTCAGCTTATTCAAAATTTAACTTATTTGTCGGCGCGTTAATTTTAATAGCAGTTAAAGCTAATATTAATTTCTAAACAATTTAAAATGGTGAAGCCTGACAAGAAAATTGGATTACTAATAACCAATTCATGATTTTTTAAATTGAAAAGGCAGTCTGGACAGGAATGTTAATTTTTTTTTAGTATTTAACTATTATAATGGAGCTAAATTTGAGCAACTAAGTTATAAATAAAGAACATGTTATTATAAATGTATATGAAATATTGATTCAATTCATATCAACGTGATTAATATATTTATATGTTGTAGTAAACAAGTAAGAAAAAATAATTGGTATAAACAATTTAAATGTGCAATAAACAAACTATTGAATAGTGTTGTCAAAAAGATTTGCCGTTCACAAACAACTTGTGTTTAGCAAGCGAAAGAGTTACACCAACAATTGTTTTGGGCTCGATTTATAAACTAGTGAGGCACGAATAAACATTTGTTCGATCGTGCTGACTCATTTCGACTCCAATTAATTAAACAATTATAATAATAATAAAAGAATATTATCATAATATTTTTATATTAAATTTTGATATTGTATTAAAAAAATTTAAATTTTGTTAATTTGTAAATAATTTGAGCTAATTTTGAACCAAACATGAGCTAAAAAATTTTGAATCGTTCAAAACATGAACATGATATCCAATAGTCATTTTAGAGCATGAGTCTATTCCGAGCTAAAATAATTTCAAACACTAAGTTCGTCGAAAAATTTTTATATATAGAATGTCTATTGCCTTGCCACGTGTTTGTGAAATACCACCGCAAGAAAAAATTATATATATATATATATATAAGCTAAATGTTCTATAATAAATAGCTATGATGAGTAAAAAAAAATAAATGAATTAAGAAAAATATAAATGTCTCACTCATTTTATTTTTTTAATCTATATCTATTAATTATTGTCAACGTACATATAACATGCCGTTTAATCAACATAAAAAGCCAATATGTGCAACCCTCAAGCACCACATCACCCTCCAATGAGCTACATTGTAACATGAAGGCCAGTAGTTGGGCATTCGGGCATGCAGTGCCCGGATACAATATTTTCTCCTAGTTTTGCTTCAATCAGTCCACTAGATTGTCCAAATGCATTACTAAACTAGCCCCAACCCCTTTTTTATCCTTTAATTCATTATAAAAAATGAGAAATTTAAATACATGTATCATTATTTTTATATTCTCCCATACCCAACACCTAAACTTTGATATTTATATTTATAATACAGTAAAATCATAAACTTATGCATTAAAAAATTAATAATAGTAATATGTTTACTATGATATAAAATAGTTAATTGCTACATGTTAATTAGATATTTAAATAAATAAGAATTGTGATAAGATGTACATGCCCCAAAATAAGGGGGCAATTACATACACACCACTCAATTCCCATTTATTTACCGGTCTGACATCTAAGCTTTCCTCATTACATTTATACCACTTAAATCTTTCTTATCACATTAAAAATACCAAGCATGCATAAGTAAGATGACATATGTGTAAATTAAAGTTTAAAATAAGAATTAAATGGTAAGTACGTAAATCTCCCAAATATAAAAAAAAATAAAAAAAAAACAAAATCCTTAAACCATCCCACGTTGCAAAGCCTCAAAAGCTGATGCCATCATTTTCAAAAAGACAAAACTCGCCGAAACTGTTTGAAAAAACGTTATAAAAAAAGCAGCGATTGTTGACTTTAAAGACTGATCAGCTTAATTAAAAAAGATCAGCTTCTCAACAAAACCATGATCAAATGATCAAACTCTTAAGAATGCCGAAACAATCAGAGTTAAGTCACTAATTAAATAATTAATAAAGCTAACTAGTATTAGGCGCTGAAAGCAACCTATTGCCTAGGAACCTAACTGGTCCAATTGTACGAATTCGGCATGTTCCCATTAATAAATAAGACGTTCTGATTCTTCCATAGACGTTCCACATAATGGTGAGTACTTTCGGTTTGCTATAATAGCCAATCATTATATTATATTTTAATATGCTTCATCATTCAGTATTCCAATTTAGAAAGATTTACAAACATACCACTCAAGTTCTATGTATTTACATATCTAACCCCTAACTTTAATTTTTTACATTCATAAAACTTTACCTATTTATGAAAAAGTGTATTTCATCTTTTAATTCAAGGTATTTGAGTGGTATGTATGTAAATGCCCCAATTTAAAATCATGATTATTTAAATCGGTCATATAGGTGGGGTAGCTATCATTTAAGTTTCAAGGATGGGACCCTTCTATATTCCATATGCTGTTCAAAAAAGAAATACAGTCATTATTCCTAAAATCTTTAACATATAGTCACCAATTTTATTTTACATAAATTACATCGATTTCCAACCTAATATAATAGTTTTAAATAGCCATTACTTCAAATTTGAGACTGTGACACATAAAATGGAGTATATATCCTATTGACAGGCATAATCAATACAAAATATTTTGACAGATTCCACAGACGATCAGTGAAATTACAGCCGCACAAATTTTTACAAAAATATCATCTTTCAAGATAAAATTCTTATTATAATCACATTGTCTATATTATGAACCGCTTTTTCCTAAATAATTTAGTTTTACTGCATCTACCAAAGAGGATATTGAGAGAAATATAAAAAAAAAGATAAAATGTAGATAACTGAAGCTATATCTTAACAATGTTCCTATCCTATTATTTGTTTAAGATTAAGCATCTGAAGACAATTTGGACTTTAATGAAGCGTTGGGACAAAGTCTGTGGCCCTTTACCTGAAAGTTTGGCTCGCTGGCTTGGTCAGGATGTTAGCCTCATGATATTGCCAATTCCACCGTTGAGATATAAGCAAGTGTAGAATCTTCCTTTAGAAGACCATGACAAATTAAGTAAAGAAATAATAGAGATATAGATAGAGTTCCGGGCAATAACCAATGGGATGATGCCATCAGTCTTTTACAACAGCACCTGAAATGAACGTTGTGGAATTCTGGCCATTAATCTGCAAAGAAAGTCGCTTTCAATTTGTTACTTAGAGTTTGGATCAGCAAATAAAAGAATTAAAAGCGATTTAATAAATGAAACAGCTGGTCAATGTTGAAAGCAACATATATGTTTAAAAATAGCATGGCAAGGCGCGGTCTTAATTGGGTTAATAAACAAGTAATTTTTTTCCGATGCAGGTTCTACTGAAATTATCAATGGTAAATCTAGGCCAGTAATTATAATAAAAAAAATGTTAATAGTAAGTTTTTTAGAGTTACGATTATTATTCAAGTCTGTTTGTAAAAAAAAAAAATAGCAGTTGTTTACATCAAACTAGATAGAGAAATGATAGAAGTTTCCAATAGACTCATCAGCACGGGGACTTAGCAAAATTGCATTAGAAGTTTCCAATAGACTCATCAGCACGGGGACTTGGCAAAATTGCATTCAAAACCAGAGTAATCAGTCAACGGATGATATCCTTCGAGATTCTTAAAATTAGAGATAAAAAGTGTGAGAGAAGAACATATTGACTTGCCAAATTAATGAGGTAAATGATTGCTTTAGAGTTAATTTAAACAGAATGCACAAATTGCTTGTTGAGGATCCGATGTGGGCCGCGATGGTATTATCTATAAATTTTCCAAACCGCCCCCATAAAGTTAAAAATATATGTATATCACTCCCAACTTGAATTGTGATTGATAGAGGGCATGGGCATTGATAAGGATATCTATCTAAGGTTTTGTTGAAGTGCAAAGTATTTGAATGAAATCTTCATCGTTTTTTACTTTTTTATAAAATTTCTATAAATTTTCAGATGTTTAGTTCTATCATGATGGATTAGATCTTTGGTAATGTCAATTGTAGCTCAGTTGCCGCATATCACAATCATTAGCTCTTTAATAATAATTGGATTTACAAAAATCATTTGAGCTACATTCATTCCCAAATTTCATAATATATGGCCCTGAATTATAATTTAACGCTATGCCTAACAACCACCACCTATTTTACTTCTCCAAGTGTCAAGTTACCCCATACAAATGAATCATAGCCAGAGGTGAATTTTCAATCAAATTATAAACCACCCAGTTAGCATCAGTAAAAATTTTCCTTCAAAAGATAAACATTTTCTTTTAGTCCTTTTTAGGCACCCAAAATATCCTGGTAAATAGCATCAAATTGTTTCTTAGCAGAAGTATTCAGTAATCGGCCAACTAGATCGGCAGAGTAAAAAAAAAAAATGTAAAATATTGGTACCATTCTGTTTATGAAAAAGGTGTTAACATTTGATCATATTTTGTTGATAGGAGTCATTTGCATCGCATCATTATAGTTTTTTTTAGAAGATCTAGCTTATATTTTTGTTGAGTGGTAGAAATACCTTTCTTCGATTTTGTGATTTTCATAGCCCAGAAATAATTTAATGTTTCCAAATCTTTCATTTAAAAATCATTAGCAAAAAACCTATTTAGTCTATTGATTTCTTCTTAATCATGCGAATTAGGATAATATCGGCAGCATAAACAATCAAGATAGTTATTAAGACCAATGAGTAATTCTTTACAAATAAGACAAGGTCATCCTAATCTTAGCAGTATCCATATTTTTTATGATAATAGTGAATCTCTCGAACCAATTTCTTCAAGATTTCTATCGGCCTTCCACAGATTTCTCAAGTTTGCATACTTTATCATCATTGGATTTAAATCACGAAGGAATATCCATATATACTTCTTTTTCAAGCTCTCTATTTAAAAAAGGCATTTTTTAAATCTAGTCAGTGAAGAGGCCAATCAATTTTCACAGCTAGAAAGAAGATGGCCCAAGAAAAATTAAACTTAACAACTAGTACAATGGTTTCTTTTGATAATAAATGCTATAAGTACGAGTAAATCCTTTTGCAAACAATTTAGCTTTGTGCCTTTCAATGCTTCCAAAAACCTTATATGTTCTATTGAAGATTTATTTGTATTAAACAGATTTTTCCCCCTTCTGGTAGAGATTGAAAGTTGGCATGTGCCATTCTTTTCGAATGATTTCATTTCATGAATATATTTTCAATCAAATATTATTAATGCCTCATGAACGTCATTGGGAATATTTATACTAGAAAGATCAACAATAAAATTACAAAACTGATAAGACAAGTTATTATAAGAAAGGTATTCACAAATTATATACTTTGAATAGAGTTTTGTTATTCATATATTTTCCGTATAAGCAATATCGTATTAAAATTAGAATCGAGTGAAGTGCCAAATTAATCTCCAACTATTTACATGACGTTTTAGTCCTGAGTTTATAGAAGTGCAAAAATAATCCCCATACTCTTTAAATTGGGGCTAAAAGAGTCCCCATGGATAACTACTAAAGCTTAATTTTAAAATAGTTGATGACTATTTTAGTACTTTCATAAACTCTAGGACTAAATGGCCCCATGTAAATTGTCAGAGACTAACTTTGGCAATTTACTCGATTAGAATTAGTGCTTTCTTGAGAAAGATGATCGAGGATTGGTTCAGATTCGTGGTTTTGTTGTAAGGAATGTCCGGTTCACAAATATTTAGTGAATTTTCCTAACATCAAGAATAAACTATGCCTTTATAGTTGGTTTCTCGTACATAATCTTGATAATTTTTAATTTGTTCCAAGGTTCTCAGCTTAAAATAGGTCAGGAAGAGATGCATACTTGAGGTCAATGGGATCAATAAAAAACTCATATACATGAAGAGCTTTTAAATTCTTATGAAAATGAGTTTTTGGAAAGAAATGCTAATTTTCAAAGAAAATGTTACATCCATCAAAGAAAATGTTACATCCATAGAAGTGTAGAAGGGAAAATAACATTTGTACCCTTGTTGGTTGAAAGAATAATAAATTAAGATGCGCGAAAAAGGGTTAGGGGTCCGCTGTTCTTTTCTATGAGGTGAGATGCGAGGAAAGACAGCATCAAAAGACTTTGAGTGGAACAGTGGAGATGGGTCTATTTGTGAAATTAAGATGCGCGAAAAAGGGTTAGGGGTCCGCTTTTCTTTTCTATGAGGTGAGATGCGAGGAAAGACAGAGCATCAAAAGACTTTGGGTGGAACAGTGGAGATGGGTCTATTTGTTGGATATGTTTCAATGGGGCTTGTGAATGAGCTTTGAATTTAAAAAGATATACTGCTATCAGAAAAACGTCTCCCCAATACTGATTTAGAACATTGCTATTTATCATGATGTATCTAGCTAATTTCAAAACATGTTTTTCTCTTTCAACAATTCAATTTGGTTGAGAAGCACTATGCAAACGTTTTGGTGTACAATCCCAAAATTGAAGAAGGTAATCCCCAAGGATTGAATAAGAATATTCTTTCCTATTATCAATCCTAAGGACTTCGATATGGGTTTTGAACTAAGTTTATAAAAAGAGAAGAAATTGATTAACAATTTGACAAGTTTGACATCCATCTTTCATTCAGATGAAAAAAGTAGCTCTAGTGTATACATCTATAAGAAGTACCAAGCCTTGGAAAATACAGCAGGTCACATGAGAGGACCTAAATTTCACTATGAATAATAAAGCAAGAAAGAGATGCTTACTAGAGTGGCGAGGAAAGGTGTTCCTAGTCTGTTGTGTCACTGAATAAAAGCTTGAATAATTTTTTGAGATAAATAAAGCTTGGATGATCAAGATAGAATCATAGGAGTGACATAACATGATTGTGCGCAATTGAGGACACAGTACATACTAAGCGTGTTTTATTTATAACATAAAAATTTTCTCCAGCATCCAAACAGTAGAGATCAACGTTCTCATTAGCATTGCCAAGCGTCCTTCTAGAAACTACATCCTGACAATCATACTGAGTAAAAAAACATGGATCATTTTTTTTGGTAATTTTATTGAGAGATGGAGATTACAAGAAAACTTGAGAACCAGTGAAATTGAGTTAAAAAATATGGAGTTTGAGATGTTGATTATTCTAATGCATGTAACTGAAGATAATGATCCATAGGCAATCCTTAAAGAGTACTCGTTGATATAGAGATATGTTTTGATATCCCCAAACATGTGATCTAATACACATGAGTCCACAATTTATGATTGGATCCTATCAATCTATGAACTTGTTGAACCCGGATTTGTTTGTCAATCACACCCCAAGGAATAGAGTGTAGAAAAAGAGGGAGAGCTAGAGAGAGAGAGAGACAGAGAGAAGAGTGGAAAATATATGAACAGTAAATTGTATTAATCGTGTTGACTTTTCCCGACCTTTTTGGATAAAATTGGATGTATCTGCCCTCCCATATGTTGACCTCATTTTGAGGTCGTTACTTTTTTTCTTAGGATCCTAGGATCTAGCTCTAGGGGTTCCTATTGACTATCCTAGAAAACTAGTATTGGAATCCATCCCCTTAGAAATTCTAGCCGCCTCCTATTTCTCCTGAGATGTCTCGCCTGAGTAGTCTCAAACCATTGTCCTATGGCCAAGTGGTAAAGGACTATCATGTGGAGACTCAGGGAGAAGTTCCCAATAGGATCTCAAGCCCTAAGAGAACCTTTTCAGGACTTCATCATCACACACGCACACAAAATGCACAAAATTCACTAAGTTGCACAAGATCGAACTTAAATTGAGCTTAAACGATGGGTGAAAATGCTAACTTCTCCGAACGACCTCCAACGACAAAATGAACTGCGTCAACGCGTTCGAGACACCAATTTTAGCTAGGAAAGACAATCATATTGTCATAATTCAGCGCACGAGCAAATTGCATGCAAATCGATAAATTCGTCAAAACGACATCCGAGGGTGAAACGGACCGCACCAGCGCGTCCGGAACGCCAAAATTATCTAAAATGGACATTCAATTTTCTACAATCTGACGCACGAATAAAAATGTACAAATCAAATTTTATTTTTGAAATATTAAATATTTTATATTAATATAATAATATTTATAACCCCACATGCGCAATCCCTACTCACGCACATGTTTCTTTTCCTTTCTTCACCGAGAGCCGAC